GGTGTTTTTGTGTTGATTGCTGTAATGTTACTATTGCAATATTTATTAAATTAATACTATTTATTGTGTATCTTGTAACCTGCCCTGAGAGGCATTTAGCCTAAAGGGGTGGGACAGAAATCAAATAAATAAATATGGGGCAGAGAACCTTCCTGCAAGCAGAGATCTTTCTTCTCCAAAGGCAGATAGATGCTGGATCCAACCCAGCATGAATTTCTCTTTATGATGGTCACAGGGAGTTGCGCTGATGTCCTGATAGAGCTGGCACATGCTAAAACAAAATTGTCATCTCTGTCTGCTTCATGTTTATTAATGCTTAGTTTCCTTTTCAGCCCTGGAAGAGCCTCTTGGAAGCAAAATGGCGGAATGGAAGCGCCAAGCACTGAAGGAGGGACCTGAGGTGGGAAGCAAAGACATCCACCGGGCCCAAGCCAGGGAGTTTCCAACTGAGAAAAACCTGCTGCGAATTAAGCAGGAGCCTGAAGAGGAGCCCCAGCAGTGGTGGGAATCCCAGGGACAAGAGTTCCAGAAGGAAGTAGAGCCCCCTTTCTACACGAGGGATTTCTCAGTGCAACCTGAGCTGACGGTGGATACAAAGGATTTCCGGGCCTCCCTGAAGACGGCTGTGGATGCCAGCCAGCCTGTGACTCACAGCCCCTCCGGTGTCTGCAAAGCCCAAGCGGCCCGCGGACACTCGGCTCTTCCCATGAAAGTGAAGCAAGAGCCTCTGGATGAGGACCAGGCTGGCTTGCAGAGGCAGCGGCACCGGTACTTCAGTCAGTTCTGCTACCAGGGTGCTGACAGGCCGCAAGAGGTATTCCACCGACTCTGGGGCCTTTGCCCGGCAGTGGCTATGGAGCCCAGGAAGGGTGGAGAGGAAGGCAGCCCATAAAAGTGACTAGCCTGCAAAGCAGAGCCTGCTGGCCGAGGAGGGATGAGTCCCTTCTGCTTGATTAGAAGCATTTTTGGAAATGGCCCAGCTAAGAGGCTACTAAGCTGTATTTCCTTGTTGACTTTCTCCTAGTGCAGCCAGTATGGAAACTGTTCCACATTGTTTTACTAATATTTATTTATTTAGAGCATTTTTATGCCGCCCCCTTCGCAAAAAGCCTCAGGGCGGCTTACAAAGCAAATAAACCAACATAGACCTTAACAATCCGGAACAGCTCGGCAGAACTATAAAAACCAATAAATAAAGACAGCAATTAACAGTTAAAATATTGATTAAATAAAAAGGTCTTGGCCTGGTGCTGAAAAACAAATAACGACTAATAGCAACTTAGTGGAACAATGGCCAGGGGAACAAAGCCGAGTTCTGTGTTTTATCAAGTGGATCTCTCCCTCCTTGGCCAGCTTTCTTTGTGTCTTTGCTTCCCTTCCTCCTGGAGAGAACATAAAACTGCACTAGAGAGAGCTTTTGTTCTTTCTGTAAGAACATAAGAAATCTTCATGTGGCTCTTTCCTTCCTTTGCAAGATTAACTCTGGGGTGCAAAAGAAACCAAAGTTCTATCTTTATGACTTCTGTTGAAAAAAGCTAGTTCGGTTAGGGGCATCCCAAGATGGAGCAGGCAGGGAACAGGGCTTAGGTCCTCCATGTTCCAAAACATCTCATCATACCTCAGTTCATGCCACTGGTTTCTGTTTCAGACTTCAGGGACCCTAAAATCCCCCAAATTGGAGGAAGATGACCCATTGGAGATCGTGAAGCTGCAGCTCCCTGTGGAAGTCAAGCAAGAGAGTGACTGGGCAGCTTGCTCCCTGGGTAATGGGTTTACATTTCAGTCCTTGCCAAAGATTCATAAAGGTGATTTCTTCTGTCTGGGAATCCTGGGAATCTCCACGTCTCGTGGAAACAGTCCATCATGGTCCCTGTACAACCTATTTCTGAGCAACCTATCACTTTTTGATGGAGTAACGTCCCTGGTGGATAGTGGGGATGCTGTTGCCTTCAGCCAAGGGTTGCCTGCTCTCCTGATTAGCAAACTGGGCCAAAGTGGGCTGGATGGAACACCTGTCGGGTGGATCCACAGCTGGCTGCAGAACCGGAAAGAAAGAGTACTCCCCCATGGCACCTTCTCAAACTGGGGAGAGGTGACACGTGCACAGAATAAAGGCACAAGTTGCAGGAAGCCAGATTCTGGATGAACATCAGGAAAAGCTTCCTGACTGTTAGAGCAACACAACAGTGGGCAAGGAAGGTCATGGGCCCTCAGATGATTATTCATTTATTATTTCTTTAAAATTTTTGTATGCCGTCCCTTATGCCTTGGCATCTTGGGATGGCTCACAATCCATAAAATTGAAATACAATAAAATCACATGTATACATAACATAATTCAATAGAAATTTACATAAAGGGCAAAGTCAAAGCGACTGTCCGACACAATTAAAATACTGATTTTTTTAAATAGTGATTCAATAAAAAGGTTGATGATGGAGGCTGCTGGAAAGCCACCTGTCAGGGATGATTTAACTTGGGGTCCCGCAGGGCTTGGAACCTTTGGCCAGATTGGCTCCCTTCAGCTTGACTGTTCCATGATTCTGAGAACCCAAATTCACCGCAGTGGGTTCCCCTTACATGGATCTTTGGTATGACCACACTCGCAATACTGTGTTCTGTTCCGGCTGCCTTATCTGGAAAAATCTGTTATTGAGTAGGGGAAAGCATGGAGAGGGGCAACAAAGATGATCACGGGGCTGGAGCAGCTCCCGTATGAGGAGCGTGTAGAGCAGGGGTCTCAAACTCAGCTTACCTGGGGGCCGCTGGAAGTAGGGTCTGGGTGAGGCTGGGCCGCATCAAGTATTCCACCACCGCGGTGGTGGTGGGCTGCTCATCCCGTGGCTGGCCCGGGTGCCGCCAGCGCTTTGAAGGCCGCAGGGCCCCTCCCCGTGCCCCACCTGTCCCGGCAATTGGCCCGCGGGCCGCGAGTTTGAGACCCCTGGTGTAGAGCAACTGGGATATTCAGCTTAGAAGAAGGGTGAGTGATGGGAGACATGATAGACGTGTTTAAAATAATGCATGGAACGGAGAACATTGTTGTTGTAAGTCGCGAAGTCGTGTCCGACCCGTCGCGACCCCATGGACAACATTCCTCCAGGCCTTCCTGTCCTCCACCATCCCCTGGAGTCCACCTAAGCTCATGCCGACTGCTTCAGTAACTCCGTCTAGCCACCTCATCCTCTGCCGTCCCCTTCTTCTTTTGCCATCTATTGTTCCCAGCTTTAGGCTCTTCTCCAGGGAGTCCTTCCTTCTCATTAGGTGGCCAAAAGTATTTGAGTTTCATCTTCAGTATCTGGCCTTCTAAAGAGCAGTCAGGGTTGATCTCCTCTAGGACTGACTGGTTTGATCACCTTGCACGCCAAGGGACTCACAGGAGTCTCCTCCAGCACCACAATTCAAAGACCTCAATTCTTTGGCGCTCAGCCTTCCTTACGGTCCAGCTTTCACAGCCATACCTTGCAACTGGGAAAACCATGGCCTTGACTATACGCACTTTTGTTGGCAGGGTGATGTCTCTGCTTTTTATTATGCTGTTTAGATTTGCCATAACTTTCCTCCCCAGGAGCAAGCGTCTTTTAATTTCTTGGCTGCAGTCCCTGTCTGCGGTGATCTTGGAGCCCAGGAAAATAAAATCTGTCACTACCTCCATTTCTTCCCCATCTATTATATCTATCTATATATATATCTATATATATAATGGAGAACATAGGGAGAGATTTTTCTTCCTCTCCCATAAGACTCAGACTCAGGGATATCTCATGAATCTCATGAAGTGGGAGGTTTAGGATCGATAAAAGGAAGTACTTCTTCATACAACTTATGGTAAAACTATGGAATTTGCTACCATGGGAAGTGGTGATGGCCACCAAATCGAATGGCTTTAAATGGAGATTGGGCTAATTAATGGAGGGGGTGGTTATCAGTGGCTACTAGCCTTGTTGGCTATGTGCTGCCTTGCATGCAGAAAGTGCTGGGTTCAGTCCCAGAGATCTCCAGTGTAAAGGATCTGGTAAAAGGGGAAAGACATCTCGTGGCCGGGAGGGCTGATGCCAGGGCAGAAAATACTGGGCAGAAAATGAATTATTGGGTAACGTAGTTTTTTGGGTAACATAATTTTGTGCAAGAAACATACAATGGATATATGAATGGGTCTGACATGAATATGTCTTATTTAAGTAATTCAGGGTCCAATGCTATGCATGGTAGGACAGATAAACAAGGACGCTGTGTTTTAATTGTTTACATTTTATATTGTTAAACTGTCCTGAGACTTCAGTAATGGGATGGTCTAGAAAAGTTGTAAATAAATAAATATAAATGAATAAATGTCCAATAGCTTCCAGTTAGGCTGCAGCCATTGGGGTGCCTTGCAGTATAACATGCATTGCTCTGATTGTTATGCTAGAGAAAGAAGTTTCAGGATGATTGTACCAGCCAAACAACTATTTATAGAAAATGTTAAAAAGAAGAATGAAAATGTGGGACCACCTAGATAAAGGCAAAGGCAGTTCCCTCTGTTCCTTTGTCTTGTGCGAGAAACCTGCAGCTCCGTTTCTGGATGTAAGTTTAATGCACAGTGTAAATAAACAAATTGTTCTCTGTTTATCCCAGAATGTGATGAACAGGTGCTAAAGAATGAAGAGGAGGCATTTCAGCTAGAAAGTCCAGAGGAAATGAATGCCTGCAAGGTGCCATTGGAAGGAGCCAAGGAGACCTATTTCTGGGTTCCTGGGAAGGAAGCTAGGCCTGGAAGTCTAGAGAGACCAGAATGGCATCCTGGGAAGAGAACAAAGCAAGCTTTCCTGTGTGAGGAAGCTGGCCAGAATTTACATGCATCCACCTTCGAGTGCCAGAAAATAGGTCCTCCGAGTGAGCAGCAGTGGCATCAGGCCATCAACTTCCCTGAGAGTCAGCAGATGCGAGCAAAGGGTAAATTGCACAGATTCACACGCTGTGGGAAAATCACAACCAGCAAAACCTCCCTTGCTCCATCTGAGAGGACCCACCTGGGAGGAAAATCATACATCTGCTCCGAGTGTGGGAAAAGTTTTGGTTGGAGAACAAACCTGGTTAAGCACAAGAGAATCCACACAGGGGAAAAGCCGTACCATTGTAGCAACTGCGGCAAAAGCTTCAATGCGAAATCCACCCTCATTAAACACGAGAGGTCCCACACTGGAGAGAAGCCATACGGATGCCCAGAGTGTGGGAAAGCCTTTGGGGAAAAGGGGATTCTCGTGAAGCATCTCAGGATCCACACGGGAGAAAAACCACACAAATGCACGGATTGCGGCAAGAGCTTTATCGAGAGGGGTGCTCTGATTAAACACGAGAGGACTCACACAGGAGAGAAGCCGTATGAGTGCTCCGACTGTGGAAAGACCTTCCGGATCAGCTGCCATCTTAAGCTCCACAAAAGGACGCATACAGGAGAGAAGCCTCACAGGTGCCTGGACTGCGGCAAAAGCTTCAGTGAGAGAGCCTCGCTCGTCAAGCACGAGAGAACTCACACGGGAGAGAAGCCATACGGGTGCTCCGAATGCGGGAAGAGCTTCCGGATCAGCTTTCAGCTTGTGATACACAAAAGGACGCACACCGGCGAGAAGCCGCACGAGTGCCCCGACTGTGGCAACAGCTTCCGGGAGATCGCGTCTCTCATTAAACACAAGAGGACTCACACCGGGGAGAAGCCGTACGGGTGCTCTGAGTGTGAGAAGAGCTTCCGGACCAGCTTCCAGCTGAAGACACACCGGAGGACGCACACAGGGGAGAAGCCGTATCAGTGCCTGGACTGCGGTCAAACCTTCAGCCAGCGATCGCGCCTCGTTATACACGAGCGGGCCCATACGGGGGAGAGGCCGTACGGCTGCTCCGAGTGTGGAAAGCACTTTGTCTCTAGCTCCCACCTGCGGAAACATGCCGTTGTGCACACAGGAGAGAAGCCCCACAAATGTTCCCACTGCGAGAAGAGCTTCAGTAAGAAATCCAACCTTGTTGTACACGAGAGGATTCATACTGGGGAGAAACCCTACAAATGCTTAGTGTGCGAGAAAAGGTTCTGCAGTTCCTCTGTTTTTCATAGGCACATGAAAATCCACCCAGAAGAGACATCCTAGGGATATCTGACATGAGAGACCGGAGGTTGCGGGGAAATGCCCAGTAATGCACATTGGATGGAAAGTGGGCCTGGCGAATCTGTGATAGATGGATGTTTATCAAAACATTCCATAGGGAAGGCTTGTTGCTCAGCCTTCAAAGCTGCAGTTCAGCCCTGCTGTCTCCAGGTATGGCTGGGAAAGGGCTCTTCCAGGAACCCTGGGTTGCCGTCGCTGCTGGTGTGTATCATCACAGCAAAGTCTAGCTTTGCACATTACGCAATTCCCCCCATTGCAGACTGAGCAGCTGTTCGGGAAGGCACTTCAGCAGGCAGTGATCGGTGTACTCGGAGGCTCAGTGCGGGCAGCTGCTCTTTGGTTCTGTGTCTTCCGCTTAGCAGGGAAAGTGCATTTGGCCTTGGAATGCTTTGGATGGGAGAGCAGGAATACTTTGGGGTTCCCTAGCAGTGATCTTAAAGTCCCCATTCGTAATACAGGCAGTCCCCAGGTTATGAACATCTGTGTTCTGAACTTACGAATGAACTGCCATACAGCCTTTTTAAAAAATCGAGTTAAAGGCAAGCAGTTCATAGGTTTCGGAGTTTTGCAGCCTACTGTGGAAAATCATCACCATAGAGAGAGAGGAAGCGAAAGGGGAGCGAGGGGGACCTCCAAAGCATCACCACAGAGAGAGAGGAAGCGAAAGGGGAGCGAGGGGGACCTCCAAAGCATCACCATAGAGAGAGAGGAAGTGAAAGGGGAGAGCGGAGGGTCTCCGAAGCCTGCTTTCTTCACCCGCCATTTCAGAGAGGGAAATCCCTCTGACATTTCCTTGATGGCACTGGTGAGTGGAAGGGAAGATGGGGAATGAGAACATAAAAATGTAATAATTGAAGAAGGGGAGCCCCAATGGATCAGACCAATGTCTGAGAGAGAGAGAGGGAGAGAGAGAGAGGGATAAGCAATCCAAGACATGTATGATCAACAGTATTAAGAGTTAAAGGGGTTTTTTTGTGGGGGAGGGGGTAGAGATATTTGCTGTTTTTCTACTTTCATGGGGCTCCTGTGACCCTAACCTTCACAAATGTGGAGGGCTGACTGTGTATGGAAGTGTTGCTGAAGTGTCTTATATGCATTTTATATATGTGGTCCGATTTACATACAAATTCGACTTAAAGACATTCTCAGGAATGGAACTCATCCATAACCCAGGGAGTGCCTGTACTCCACTACACACTAATCTTTTCAACAGGAGTTGGTCCAGGGATAACACCTATTTTAGACATTTAACTTTCTTACCAGTTAAGGTCGGTAAGTCTCTTTCTTTTCTTTCTCCTTAAGAATTTTGTGTTTGGGGGTGAGCTGTAGCATCGGGTACTGAAATTACCGCTGCAGGGAAAAGTGTGTGTTGGATACTGAGGAATGTGCAGGAAGCCCCTTAAGGGTCTGCAGAAGTATTGGGTGAACTCACAGAGGGCTCCTAGCTGGAGAAAGGTGCATTGATGGCTGCAGGAATGGCCATCTCTTCCTGCTAGTTCATTTTACTGAGTTTTTCTAGACTAGCCTGGGGGTGCAGAACCTCAGGATTGGGGTCCCACTCATTTCCCTGACCGACTGGTGTTTTTTGTGCCGTTTCCCCCTTCATTCTGAAAAGTTGAAATGCCTTTCCTAAATACAGGTAGGAAGAGCTGCAAGCATTCTGCATTCACCCGCCTCCTTTTGGCCCCATCCCTTCTGCCTGGTCCTCCCCCCCCCCTCCACACACACACCAGTATAACATGCCTCCACCAATAACTTCTCTGGAATAGAATGCAAAGAGTTCTTCCTCTTTGGACCGGGCTTGAAAACTGTATTTGCCTGAGGCTGGGCATGGCCCGCTGGCTCACTTCATGCCACTTGCTGGAGAATCCAAAACATTCTGGCTGGAGCGCGGCTTCTCCATGGCCTCGGGGGCCCTCCTCTTCAGCCCATCATCCTCAGCGCAACTGTGTGAAAATGGTGGAAGAGGTAGAAACCGGGTGTTGTATGCTCATCCTCACTTTTTCATCAGTTACTTTTATTATGCAAGCAAGCAAGCCAGCGTGACTGAATCGTCTTCCAGTCCAAAGAGACCAATATCCTGGACAGTCTTTGCTTAACATGGTCATGTGCAAGCTTAGTTCCTTGGGGTAAAGCATCATGAAAGAGAGTTGTCACAAAACGGGCACTGTCTCCCACCGGCTGTCTTCCAGCTTCTAAGCTCCTCCATCCAGGTGGGTCATTCCACAGCCTCACCTTCCAGGCTTGCAAGTCACTTTGAGCACTGCGTGATCCTGTGTTGCCCCTCTCTATTATTATTATTATTATTATTATTATTATTATTATTATTATTACTACTACTACTACTACTACTACTACTACTACCACTATTACTGCTTCTGCTACTACTACTACAACTACTACTACTACATTTCCATGCAACCCGAAACCAAAGCTCCCTGAGCAGTTCACAACCTTTTTAGTCACCCATCCAGATTGCAACCTGGTCCGACCCTGCTTAGCTTCCAAGATTAGGCAGGATCAGGCCCTTCAGGCTATATGGAAGCTCTTTTCCAATGAGACCTCAGTCCTTGATCTCAAGTTCATGCCCACACCTCTTTTCAAGAGCTTGTGCTCCCATGGGCTTGAAGGCCCTGCATGGTTGACTTGTGAATATTTCGACAACAATGTTCCTTCCTGCAGTTGCTGTTTTCCTCACAGGCTTCCTGCTCTTACCCTGTTGACCCTCAGCAACACCTTCCCCTTCCCCAGCTGACCCAGAATTGGATCCCATGTCAACTTAGGGTTCGTCTGCAGAGGTGTTGGGCCCAGGCTGTACTCTGGTGCCTTCCTCTCTATTGATGCTTCTGTTTCGCAACACCTGAGTAAGCCTTGGGGCAGACTTGAGTCCAGTCAACCTTCCAGCTATAGTAGGCCTGTACCCATGATCCACACACACGCACAGGTGCACCCACCATCAGGCGGAGAACAGGACCAAGCCGGCCACACCTCTGAGCACCAACCTTCCCTTCACCTCGTCTCCTCAAAGCCGTACATCCTGCATCAACAGGAAAGGTGTGGGGCCGATGCTTTGCTGCAGTTTGGGGGCCTGGTCAGAAAAAGTCTTGGCTTTCAGGGGCAGAGCGGATGGGTGAGTCACCTTTCCAGGTGTCCTGTGTATGGAAGGGGATGTGGTGTATTAGCAAGCTGCACTTCCGCCCCCTTTTCCCCAACCATGGACTGTTTGATGGCTTCCTGGCTTTTGTGCAGCGTCTCCCTATTGTGAAAGGTTCAAATACTTCTAAGGCTTAGTTGCTGGCAATGAAAACTTTAAGTGAGTTTGTTTTTTTAGTATTTTGGCCATTCCCCATTTTGCCTTTTCTCCTGGTCGCCAGTGGACCTCCTTCTCCAAGACCCTCGAAACTGAACGTGGTCCTCAGGCTGAGGAAGGTTCTGCATCTTTACCTTAAAGGTAAGCCAGTAATCCAATCTGCGGACCTATAGCTGAAAATCATGTACTTGTTGCTATATACTGGCTGCCTCCACTTGGCTCCTCTTCCTCTGTATTCCTTGTGTCCTGTCCTAGATTGTACACTCTTTTGGGCAGGGAGCAATTGTATTTTAACAAGCAGTGTGCACACTGGTGGTGCTTAATAGCAATAATGTGACAAAAACCATGGTGGACGGAAACTCCACGCTCCATGCATGGAACTGCTCCGTCCTGCACTGTAAACATGCTGTCCTGTGGCCTCCTGGTGGTGCCTGGGTGGCCATAGGATTATTTGCTGCCCCAGTTTGAGGTCCTGTGACCTTGGAGCTGGGCCTCTAATGGCTGAGTCCCTGCCCCACCTGCAGCTAGCATGGGGAAAAAACCACACAGATAGCTGCCTCCCTGAGGATGCAGCTTGGCCTCCAAGAGGCAGAAAGGGGGTTTGCCGAGGCGGCACAGGTGGCAGATTGCTGTTGCGGCCACCATCTCCTTCCCGCCACATTATCTAGACAGCTGGAAATGGTGTCTGGCTAAAGTGCATGGAGCGAGGAGCAGTAGTGGTGGCCTCCACTTTGTACATGGGATGCATAGGAGCTTTTTGTGTACATCTGACATGAGAAGTACTGGATTGCATCCTAAATCCAGGTCTATGCACACGAGTCTTCCATGTAGTTGGGACACTGGGAAGTCAGGGCTCCTGCTTGTGTGAAGGCGCCTCCGTGAGCATGTGGTTGCTTCACACTGAAGTTCTTTGCACGGGCATCGGTGGATGTGGCTGATTTCCTCCTCTGGAGAGGTCTTCCTTTGTTGGGACCTTGCTGAGATGCCCTTGGGTTTGAAGACTCCCTCTTTCACTCAGGGCTGGTGCTCGGAGCTCTCGAACTGGCCCCCAAACAAGCCTTAGTAGCTTGGAACCAGGGGTAGCCAGCCTGGTGTCCTCCAGAGGTTTTGAACTTCCTCACCCTCAGCGATGCCCCTGCTTTAAACATTGTCTTGCTTCTATTTGCGCTGCCGTCATGTGAAGCATTCCATTCCACTGCTTGGGAAAAATAGGATATTTGAGGAGGTCTCTTATTAGACCTGAATTTAAGTACAGGTTAGGTGACAAGTGGCTGGAGAGCAGCACTTGTGAAAGGGACCTCGGGGTGCTGGTTGACTGCAGGCTAAACATGAGTCAGCGGTGTGATGCGGTGGTCAAGAGGGCAAACGCCACCCTTGGTTGCATAGCCAGAAGCATGGCTTCTCGATCAAGAGAGGTATTACTACCACTCTATATGACTCTGGTACACCCGCAACTGGAGTATTGTGCTCAGTTTTGGGCCCCTCATTACAGAAAGGATATAGCCAGGTTGGAGTCAGTGCAGCGTAGGGCCACAAGGTTGGTGGCTGGTTTGCAGGGAATGCCATATGAGGCGAGACTGAGGGAACTGGGTTTCTTCAGCCTGCAGAAGAGGAGACTCAGAGGGGA